CAGATTTTTTGCCTTGGTGACCAAACCGAAAAAACCAATCCTTTGCTCAGCTCTAGTGTGTCGTTTGTTTCCAGACACAAAGAACGAGCCAGTTACTTTCAGTTCCAGATGAAAAGAATTTTAGATTAAGGAAACCAATCGGAAATTAACATCTCCAGGGGAGAGAGCGCGGTGTGTGTGTCTGGGGTGAGAATCTGCACTGAATTCAGCACACAAAGGATGCCTGTCACTGCAGACAGGAAAGCCCCAAAGAGGGCAGAACAAAAACTGGGGTTAGGGACAGGTCTGCACTTAAAACGCTGCATTGGCATGCAGCCGCACTGCCGTAGCGCTTTTAAGGAAGATGCTGTAAGCCAACAGGAGAGAACTTCTGATAGCTTAGTTAATCCACCTGCTGTCTACACTGGTGCTTAGGTTCATATAGCCACGTGCATTTGCATCCCTGAGCAAGGTAGTTATACTGAAGTAAATTTGTAGTGTAGTCCAGGGCTAAGATAGAGCTGGGCAAAATTTTTCGGCTGGCCAAAACCTTTTTTCAGTGAAAAGGGCAAAGTCAGCACAACACCAAAACATTTTGCAAATTCATGCCAGTTTCACCAAGTTGTTTGGGTAAAAATAAAGTGTGTGCACCTTCCTCTGAAGATTCATCTGTTCCTGGATGGGACAGGAAACTGGGCTGGGGAACCAGAGGGGGGGAGGGGGTCTCCTCCTGCCATGGCACTGCCTGTGTTCTGGGGGTGTTAGAGCCAGTCCCAGTAACAACTCTTGCGATACGGCCTGTCACTCTAATCAGATGTGTTTTTGTCCGCCTGGTTCGGAGCCCTTCTGTGCAGCGGTGTGTGGAAAAGGATGGTGGAATGTGCTAGAAAGCTCTCCCGCCAACGCAGCGCTGTCTACACCAGGGACTAAGTTGGTGGATTTTTCACACCCCTGAGCGACATAGTTCTACCGATGTATGTGTGTAGCGTAGACCTGGCCTTAGTGTTGCCAGGCTGCGTCAGTCCATCCATCAGTCGCGGCTCAGCGTGGAGCTTGGGATAGCGCTGAGGGACAGACTAGGCACCATACAGGGCAAAGGGTGAGGACCGGACAGGCAGAGGGGGCTATTCGTAGATTCCACGGTGAGATGGGACCGCTGCGATCATCCAGTCTGATCCCCGCACAACACAGGCCCGAGAATAATTCCTAGAGCAGATACGTCACCAGTCATTGGCATTGCCTCTAGGTTTGCAGGCAGGTTCTGGCCCCCATTTACTAGAAGGCTCTGGGTTTGCAAGGGGGAACCTCTTATTGCTGGGGGCATCTATGGGAAGACACAATCCCTGCCCTAGTCTCCTAACATGAGAGTGACGGCAGACGGGGTTGCAAGCTGAGGGGCTGGGCAGCTCTTCACGTCTTGTTACTAAATGCCCCCCCCTCCAACCCACCGGAATCCCCTCCCGGGGCACAGTGCCCTCCCTCACCAACCCCCA